GCTCAGGCCACTGGGGAGGCTGAGCCACTGGGCCCTACAGGACACCTAGCACACAAAGCCTCTCTAGCAACACAGGGAAGCAGCCAAAATGCGGAGACAGAGAAACAGGTCACGATTGGCAGAAATAGAGGAAAGCAAACGATTGGATATAGAATTCAAGGCCACGTTTATAAGGTTTTTCAAGAATTTTGTGGAAACCGCCGATAAATTTAATGAGTCTCTCATTAAGTATAATGAGACCATGAAGGACATGAAAAAGGACCAACTAGAAATTAAACATACACTGACTGAAATAAAGAATAATTTACAGAGATCCAACAGAAGACAAGAGGATCCCAAGAAACAAGATAAATACAAAGAAACAAAACATACCCAACCGAAAAAGAAAAAAAAACAAAAGAAATTCCAAAAGTATGAAGATAGTGTACGGAGCCTCTGGGACAACTTCAAGCGTACCAACATCAGAATTATAGGGGTACCAGAAGAAGAGAGAGGGCAAGATATTGAAAACCTATTTGAAGAAATAATGACAGAAAACTTCCCCTACCTGGTGAAAGAAATAGACTTACAAGTCCAGGTAGTGCAGAGAACCCCAAACAAAAGGAATCCAAAGAGGACCACACCAAGACACATCATAATTAAAGTGCCAAGAGCAAGGGACACGGAGAATCTTGGAAGCAGCAAGAGAAAAACAATCAGTTACCTACAGGGAAGTGTCCATATGACTGTCAGCTGATTTCTCAACGGAAACTATGCAGGCCAGAAGGGAGTGGCAGGAAATATTCAAAGTGATGAGTAGCAAGAACCTACAACCTAGATTACTTTACCCAACAAAGCTATCATTCAGATGGGGAGCTTCACAGATAAGAAAAAGCTAAAGGAGTTCATCACCACCAAACCAGTATTGTATGAAATGCTGAAAGGTATCCTTTAAGAAGAGGAAGAAGAAGAAAAAGGCGAATTTATTATGTAAAATAGAAAACAGCGTTTTAAAACCTCCATTCCTCAGACCAGTTAATTGCAAATTTTTCTTTAAAAAGTGAAGGAACTGAGTGGGGGAAGTTTCATAAAGGAAGGAGCCCAGCACCTGCACACAAATTCCTTCTCATGTCCTGCTGAGTCCCAAAAGGCAACGGCCTGGGTCAGCACCAGGGAACCCCGGGAAGAGCAGTGACTAGAAGCTAAAGCATCTGAGGAGCAGTTTTCAAAACACTAAGTCCTGCGGAGTTAGAGATGCGAGGTAAACACCTCGAGCTTCTCCCAGAAAGCAGAAGGACCAAGCCTTAAGAATAAGGATTATCTCCCAGGACTAAGGCGTATGCCCTAGGAATAGGGCTAAATCAAACAGACCCACATCCACAAGGTGTAAAACGAAGCTTTCACTGTTTCCAGGAAGTTATCAGCTAGAAGAAAATATAATTGTATTCAGAGAGCGACAACAGAATCTAGCATCTACAATGTATCCAGCATCTAAAATGTATCCAGCGTCTACCATGTATCCAGCATCTATCATGTATCCAGCGTCTACAATGTATCCAGTGTCAACAATCTATCCTGCCGGAAGCTGGTCCATCCTTGCTGCTTGACACAGTCGCCTCAGGGAAGAAACATCTGCACAGCATATGGTTCAAGGGACCTGGGGTATATGGCATACTGTTCTTAATATGTTTGCTCCCCTTCTTAGCGCTATGTGTTTTAACCAAAGTCACTTCTCTGAGAAAGGTTGTTTCCCTAGGTGGGGATTTCCCCCTGGAGTTAGGGAGGGAACAAAACCCCTGAACTAAGTGCCAGGTGGGTAGTTAATCACTTTAACTATGAATAATCATGCTTAAGCTACATAATCTTTACTTAAGATAATCTCCTTCAGTTACTTCCTTGTAGCTTAACAGAACAATCCAGTAACCTTGGAATGGAGATAAGAAACGCCCTAACCTTTGTAATAGAATGGATAGGATTAAAA